GAATTTTGATAAGGGAATCAATTGCAGCAGCAAGAAGGGATGACATCTTAGAAGGCTCCTCAAATGAATTGATATCAATAGAACTTAAAAACCAAAAAGGAGCAATCACAATGCTGGGACAATACTATAGGCACCCTAACAGCCTGGGAGAATGAGAAGAACTGATGTGCAAGCAAATTTCAGGGAAATGGCGGAACAGGATAGTGATGTAAGGGGATTTCAACTTCCCCAGTGTTAACTAGGATAGTTATTGTGTGAAAGGATTGAAGGGAATGGAATTCTTAAAATGTATTCAGGACAGCTTTTAAAGCCAGCACGTAGAAGGTCCAACAAGAGAGGGGACAGTTCTGGACTTAATTTTAGGAAATGAAACTGGGCAAATGGTTGAAGTATCAGTGGGGGAGCATTTTGCAGACAGTGATCATAACTCAATTAATTGACAATTGTTATGGAAAAGGACAAGGATGATTTTGAAATCAAAATTCTCAATAGGGGAAGGCAGATTTTAATAAGATCAGAAATCTTTTGGCTGGAGGTGTTTCTTTTCCTTTATTGATTAGGGGTGTTGCTGGCTAGGCAGCATTTGTTGCCCATCACTAATTGCCCAGAGGGGAGTTAAGAGTCAACCACATTGCTGTGGGGCTGGAGTCACATGTAGGCCAGACCAGGTAAAGATGGCAGTTTCTTTCCCTAAAGGGCATTAGTAAACCAGATGGGTTTTTCCCCAACAATCAACTCATGGTCATCATTAGATTCTTAATTCCAGACATTTACTGAATTCAAATACCACCATCTGCTGTGGTGGAATTTGAACCTAGGACATTATCTGGGTTAACTGGATTAACAGTCCAGTGATAATACCACTAGGCCATCGCCTCCCCTAACTGGGGCTGGGAGAAGCTGCAACAGTGGGGTGCATTCAAAAAGGAAATATGGAATGTACAAGGCCAAGAGTTTCCAATAAAGAAAGAAGGTGGGACCATCAAATCCTGTGAACCCTGGATATCAAAGAATAGATACCACTGAACTAAGAGATAAAGGGAGCCTTATGGCAGATATCGGGGGCTCAAAACACATGTTTAGAGGTGTATAAAATGTGCAAGAGGGAACTTTAAAATAAAGGCAAATTCTAGAGTGTTTTACAGTACATTAAAGATAAAAGAATAATGAGGGAAAGAATAGGGCCCATTAACCACCACAGTGGTAATTTGTGCATAGAGCCAGAGGATGTAGGTAGGGTTCCAAATGAATAATTTGAGTCAGTGTTCACTAGCAATAGGGACAATATGGGTATAGAAATCAGGGAGAAGTTCTGTTGTACATTTAAAGAAATTAGCATAGACAGAGAGGAAGTTCTGAGTGGTCTGGCAGGCTTAACAGTAGATAAATGTCCATGGTCTGATGTAATGTATCACAGATTGTTGAGTGAGGCAAGGGAGTAAATAGGAGGAAAGAGGCCTCCAGACCCAGTGTATCTAGTGGTGAGAAGGTGCACGGTAGTTCAGTCTCAGTGAAACTTACCTTTGATTTTCAGACAGTAAATGGTTGTTCTGGAGTATGGCTGTATTTGAGCAAGTGGGATTTAGGATGTTTAGGTTTTTGATGTGGGAATTTTCTATTATTACCTAGCCTGTGGGTTGTAACTTCCTCCTGGAGTCTACACACTTTTCCTCAACAATTTCAGTTCTCCTGACACCAGGGACTTTTAACATTCTTTCACAGCGAAACCTTGAATGTGAGGTTTATGATAAAGTTTTTGTGACACCTTCGAGCCTCCTGATACACCAAATAATTCACACTGGAGAGAAACTCTTCCAATGTGAGGATTGTGAAATGGATTTTATTCAATTCTCTAATCTCCAAGATAAAAGAGAATTTACACAGGAGAGAAATGCTTTGAAATTGAGGTTTGTGACCAAGCCTTCACAGTTATCGGCCTTTGCGGATCACTGATTTATTCACATGAGGGAGAAACAATTCCCATGTGAGGTGTGTGACAAATCCACCTTGAAGTCATCACACCTCCTGAGATATGGGAGAATTCACATAAAGGAATACCCCTCAGATGTGATGTTTCTGAAAAGACTTTCACCCAAACCAGGTGTTGTTCACAGTTAGAACGAGAGTTTTGAAGGAGCTCTGGTTCACAGTGTAAGATGTGACAGCAGCCAGGAGAGCACTGGAATAGTTGAATCAAGAGGCTTCAAGGATGATAAATGGTTTTCCTATTGTGCTTTGGATGCTGTATATTCTGATCTGCTGACGAACACATCCCACACTGACGTTGTGAGTTTGAAAGCCTCTTAGGATGAAGAATACTATTCCTACACTAGAAATCTCTGTCAAACATTTACCAGGGGAACTGAGACAGCAGCTGCAATAAGTGAGGTTTTATTCAGATGGGACACTGACAAGTTTAAATCTCCACCTGATCTGCTGCTCAAAGTCACCTCCATTTCACGGGTCAGTTTCCCAAGCTTCAGGAAACTCATGTTGCTGCAGAAATATTTGGATTGGCTGTGAGAGACGTCAATCAGAGAGCCCACCCACTCTGCCCATTCTCTCCTCTTCCTCTTCCAGAGCTGGTTCACTTCCTATAGGGACTGAAAACCAAGTGAGGAGATGGTGAGTGAAGGAGCAGCTTTTATACAAATTGTATCCCATAATATCCACACCAATCTACAGGCAGTCTGACTATCCTGTGGGCAGTCAGGGGTGGAAATGTTCCTTATGCTGTGTGAGAAGATCCAGCTGAGAGAGCTGTTTACTCGGTGCTTTGTGCTGAACTGTTTGTCTGGAGCTGTGTGTTGTATATTGAGTGTGTTTATTGGAAGCATTTCCCTCTGATTTCCAGCCTGAGTTTAGTTGATGAATCATTCCTGAATTTGAGAAGGTGAGGTGCGATTTTTGGGAGGTGCAGATTCTTCTTGAAGATTCTTACAGATTTTGTTGAGCTCTGTATATGTTAGCAGCTGGCGGTTCATTCAGTTGGCTAGATGGTTGGTTTGCAATGTAGAATGATACCAACACGGTGTATTCAGTTCCCACACTGGCTGAGGTTACCATGAAGGACCCTTCTCTTTAACATCTCCTCTCATCCGAGGCGTGGTAACCCCTTGGCTAAACCATCACCAGTTGTCTCTCTTTCTGTCTGTGATGAGAATGTAGCCAATGGTACAGTAGGGCTGTGGCTACTTTTCGCTTTATTATCCAGTGAATGATAAGGTCTTGTGTGTTTTGGGATTCTGGACATTTCCTGTCTTTTCAAATCCCTACATGCCCATCCATCAACCTATCTCTGTAACCTCCTCAGAAAAGAATGTGACAACTTGCATTTAAATTAAAAAAAACCTTCAATTACTCTCATCTTACATGTCAATCCCTTTGTTGCCACCATGAACACTCTGCTTATGTTTTTCCCTGGGCAGCATCATCTGGTTAGCATCTTGCTCAGCAAACCCAACCTGTTTCCATGGTAACCAGACCATTTGGTCTGTTGCCAGACAGTTATGCAGCTTTTTTCCTTTTTTGGTCATGGGCTGTGGGTGTCACAGGCTAGACCAGCATCAAATGTCGATCCCAAATTGCCCAGAAGTAGAGAATTGTCAACCCAGTTTTTTGGGAGCCTGGATTCACATATCAGTTAGACTGGGTCAGAGGCAGATATCCTTTCATGAAGGACACCAATCGACAATTATAGCATGGTCATGTGGGATTCAAAATCATTCTGGGCTTCTGACTTAGCGACTTAACTCTGAGAAACTGTTTTATGGGATATTCTGTTTACCTCTAAATGATAAATACAAATTAAAACATAACTATCTCACAAATCATATTGATGACACACCCCTGAATTGAACCTTCTTGACAGTGGGGAGAATTGTACAGTAGTATATTTACTAGGTTCAAACCTGGACTGTTCCTAGGACTGTTCTTGACCTGTCAGTCTACTGGTTTGATGACAATCCTGGAAAGAGAGCTGTGCCAGGCTTTGAGATTGTGGTGGAATACAATCCCGCTGCCGTTGCTAATGGCGCAACTCACCTCATGGACACCCAATTTTTGGAGCTGTCCTTAGTCTACATCCCTTGTGATGATGAACATGGTGAAGGACTCATTCATTAATGGGGGGGGGAGGGGTGGTTGATGGTGGTGGTGGTGGGGAATGGTAGTTTTCCTTGAATATGTTTGGTCCAAAGCCCTGACAATCCATGAAGTCAATATTGAGGACTTCCCCACTTCCCAGTGGGATGCGACATTCCCATGAATGATGATGCTGGAGTCTGAGATTTGTTAATTGATATGATTCACTGTTTCTTAAAGTTTGCTCAGCCATTTCAGAGGGCAATTTAAAGTCAACGATGTGTGGATTCATGTGTCGACGCAACTGGGAAGTTGTAGAACTTCCTTTCATGGAAGGGCAACATTTACATTTTTAGGAATACCTCAATTTCTCTGTCTTGGTCACCATCCAGTGTCCTTCCTTGAAACAGAGGATGTATGACAGTCAAGTGAGGAAAACGAAAGGACTTGTATCTGATTCTCCCACACAGGAAATAGCATTTTGGCACACTGTAGTCTCTAACTGAGGAATCAGCCCCTTCAGCAAAGGAGGAGAGACAGTTGGAGGAAATCATGTTTCCTTTTCCTGTTTTACAGAAAGATTGCATCGTACTACACTAGAGAATACAGAGAGGATTGACACTACAGATAGATCCTGACCATCACCCAGGAACAACTGCACAACTGTGGGAAGACATCCTGTCGCTTTACATCATTGCTCAACACAGAGAAGGTTGGGCAGCGAAACCATCATCTGGAAATCAGTCGGGTCAGGGGAACTTTGACGTATCATCAGATTTGAAACTGGTCAGTGGTGTGGAGCCTTCCATCAGAAACAACCTTTCTGAAGGTTCAGCTGTGGGTGATCGGTCAGGGTAGGGCTGGGAAGAAGTATGAGCGGCTCCAAGTATGGTGAGAGCTTCAGTCATTCATCAACCCTCATGATCCACTGACTCATTCCTACAGTTGATGTGTGAGGTATGTGAACAGGGCTCCAAAGGCCTGTAAGGTCCCAAACATGTAGGATTTATCGGCTGACACAAAGACAGCTACATGGAAGTGAAACCCTTCAAGTGTGAGGTGTGCAGCAAGGTATTTGCGATATCAACAACTCTCCTGAGACACCAGATGATTCACACGGGGGAGAAACCCTTCAAATGTGAGGTTTGTGAGAAGGCTTTCACTCACTCCTCCCATCTCGTGAGGCACCAGAGAATTCACACAGGGCAGAAGCCATTCACATGTGACGTGTGTGAAAAGTCATTCTCAATCTTATCCAACCTCCGGGTACACCAACGCATTCACACCGGGGAGAAACCATTCGCATGTGAAGTGTGTAACAAATCATTCTCATACTTATCAAGCCTTATAAGACACAAACGCATTCACACAGGGGAGAAACCATTCCCGTGTCAAGAGTGTGACAAATCATTCTCATACTTATCGCACCTCCGGAGACACCAATGCATTCACACGGGAGACAAATCATTCACCTGCGAGATGTGTAACAAATCGTTCTCACAGTCAGATGGCCTTCTCAAACACCAACGCATTCACACAGGGGAGAAACCATTCACATGTGAGGTGTGTGACAAATCATTCTTGCAGCCAGCACATCTCCGTGGACACCAACGTATTCACACAGGGCAAAAACCATTTATGTGCGAGGTGTGTGAAAAATCATTTTCATATGCATCAACCCTGCGCCAACACCAACGTATTCACACAGGGGAGAAACCATTTACATGCAAGGTGTGTGACAAATCATTCTTGACATCATCAAACCTCCGCATTCACCAACGCTTTCATACAAGGGAGAAACCATTCAGGTGTGAGGTGTGCAACAAATCATTCTCGTGGTCATCAAACCTCCTGGTCCATCAGAGGATTCACACAGGCGAAAAACCATTCAAATGTGAGCTGTGCAATAAATCATTCTTGTCATCATCAGATCTTCATATGCACCAACGTATTCATACAGGAGAGAAACCATTTAATTGTGAGGTGTGTGACAAATCATTCTCAAGATCATCAAGCCTCCTGCTCCATCAGAAAATCCACTAACAGGGTGACCTTACCTGTTAAGATTGCAAAAAATCTTGATACATCCTCAAATCTCCTGGGACCTCACTGGATCCACAGGGGAACTGAGGAATAATTTATTTAACCCAGAAGGTGTAACAGTGAAATTAACTCAAAGGAACAACCTCACCACATTTAAAACTGGATTGTAAGAGGTTGTTTAGCAAGGCCACATTCAAGTTAAAAGAAGCCACTATTTAGAAACCTCGAAGAAGATTACAAGTCCCTTTCTACTGGACAGCTTTCTGAAATTAAGCAGATTCATTCCATGGGACTTTGAGAACCTGACTGGACACAATCAGTGACTTTTCAATCGATCAGTCAAGAGACAGTGAATGAAGCCTCAGACTACACAATAAGTGTGTATCGATGAAGTTGAACGATTCAACTTGATCCCTGAACTCCTCTGAACTCCCCTATAGAACCCTATATAACAATAACGTAACAAGCTGTATGAAGCCACCGCATCTGTATGTGCTTCAAAGTCTTTAGAAATGCTCATCCCAAAGAACTTTCTGATAAACGTGAAACCTACCTGATCTAATAACCAGGAACTTCCCCATTGAAACCAGCTTCCTATGCCAATGGCCTGGTCATGAACCACGATGTGAGATTATTACAATGTGTGAGATGACACAGGTTTGGTGAGGTGTTTGTGGGGACCATGGTCATGGGAGGAAAGTGTGATTTTTTTTGTTAGTTTTATGAAACATACGTTTAGCAGTAAGAGTGGTTATAGGAGCAGACAGTAGCAGTAACAGAGAGCAGTAAGAACAGAAACAGACAACAGTAAAAGCAGACAGCAGTGACAGCACCGCACAGTGTAGAAGTTCTCAATAGCTATTTAATAAGGGAATTGGATGAACTGAAACAGGACAATGAAGCTAAAGGAACAGCAGAAATTGAAACAGCAACTTATCAGAAGTAACAACTCAAGGTTTAAAAACGAAATTGAGCTCAGATGTTCTAGGAACATGTTTGTGAGTTTAATCCTCATTTAACTCAGGAGCAATGGACTCATGTTTGTAATTTGATGAATGTCAAAATAAACTATGAAAAAGAGGAGTTGTTAACAGTGTCCATTCTCTCCCTACAGACGGGTTCAGGCTGAACCTTAGAATTTGGAGTATAAAATGGAGGTGTGGGTTTATCCACCTACAGCATGGAATAACATTTCCACGTTTATACTGTCCCATCAAACACTGACAGAGAAGATACAGCACAGGATAGAGTCACACTCTGTTGAAACTGTCTGCGGAGTGTTGGATTAACCTGGGTGACTTACACCTAGCTCAGGATCAATCTCTGCCTCAGTCACTCAGAGCTCTTGTATTATTGACCTTAATGTCATTGGTTGGGAGCCGAAGCCAGGCAAAAAAGGGATGGGGCAGCAGGATGGGTTGAGGGGGGTCGCTGCTGTGGGGGGAGGTGGTGTGTGGGGGAGGCCAGACAAGGTATATAAATTCTGGCTAAGTTTCATTTTATCATCAGTAGTCATTATCACTTTTCATTGGAGCTTGCTATGTACCAAGTTTCCTGCATTACAGAAAATGATCCTTTTTTGGCTTTGAAATGCTTTTTGATGTCCTGCATTTGTAAAAGAAGTGCAAATCTTTCCCTCTGAAGAAGACATACTGCATCCTGTGAACTGAAATTATAACCCCATTGATGGAGAAAGCATCCGAGCCACAGTAACACTGACACATATATATTGTGTGCAGGATCCTTATGGGAGGATCCTGAGCAGGAACACTATGCTGACAAATCATGGTTAGTTTGGTTGAGTTGAATTTCTTGCCAGTTGTAAATCTGTGCAGATGTTTCATAAAACAGCAGACGACACAATATTCAGCTGATGCCAAACTTTGATTTAAACAAAATAACAAGCATTTGGAGAATGATCCAAGATCCTTCTAAGGGCATGAAACAAATCTTGGAAGAGTGTAAGGTGAATATATCACACTGTTATTACATCAAGGTATGATGGGCTGAGGGAACTCAGGTCTATGCAGACTCACCCCCAAACATTCCCTACTTCATCCTGATTGGCTCACTTGCCAGGGCACAGACTGGGGATGAAACAAGGAAGTCACCAGGGGGCAATGAAGGCAAATAGCTCGCAAAAGGGTGGGACAGTGAGGTTTGCCACACCATGGGAAAGGGAGGCTTCAAAATGTTGGGACAGGTAAAGTGAGGCTTGTAAAACAGTGTGGAAGAGAGAGACTGCAGAAGAATGGAGAAGCGAAAGGGAGGCTGCAAAAGTGTGAGGAGGGAGAAGGAGGCTGCTGAAGGGTGGGCATGGGAGTGGAGGCTGAAAAAGGGTGGGGAGGGAAAGGGAGAGCTGTAAAGTTGGGAAAGGGAGACAGAGTCTGCAAATGGATGGGGAAAGGTGAGTGAGGTTGCAAATGAGTGGGGAAAAGGAAAGGGAGGCTGCAAGTGTGGGGAAGTGAAGATAAAGGGAGGAGTGGGTGCAGCAAAGGCAGGGAAAAAGGGACTGCAAAAGTGCTATCCAATACTATGGATGTCCCTACACTCTAAGCATAGCAACTGTGGAGGTGGTTCACCACCACGTTCTCCAGGGCAATTTGGGTGAATAATAAATGCTGGCCTTGCCAGCAATACCCACATGCTATTGAAGGGATACCTTCTCTAGCAGTGAGCTGTATGCAGAGGTGGACAGTATTGCTATCCTGTCACATATATAAAATTATCTGTCAGCAATCCAATTTACATGGGAATGTTGATGGGCTCTCTAAATTGCCTTTTCCAAATGAGTCAACTACAACAGTACTTATGTAGACTTTTTCAACTTTGATCAATTGGACAACACTCCAGTAATGTAGGACAAGTTAAGAAGTGCACTTTAGATGATCCACTGCTATCAGAGTGGTGGAGATGGTACTTCTTGGCAAGATCTCAGGAACTATCCCAGAACTGAAGCTAGAACTATCTGTACACGCAGGATGTCTACTATGGCGAATGCCAGTCATTATTCCACCAAAGCTAAGGAAATGTGTTAAATCAACTCACAAAGGTCACCATGGCATTATCAGATGAAGGAGATAGCCAGAACCTATTTTTGATGGTCAGGATTCAACTCTGAAATTTAGAGAAGGTGAAAAAATGTGCAGTTGCATTGAGTTCACAACCTACCTCCATTAGCACCATTACAGTCATGGAAATGGCCAGAAAGACCATGGCAAAGAATCCATAATGACTATCCTGGACCTTCTGAAGGGCAAATATCTTTCATTGTGGTTAGGGAGGGATGCAAAAAGTGGTAACTGTTGGCTGCTTAGCCTAAAATCTATTGTTGGAAAAGAATTGGAATCAATTATATTAAGGAAGTAATAGCAGAACATTTGGAAAATCATAGTCCAATCAAGCAGAGTCAACATAGCTTCAAGAAGGGAAATCATGTCTGATTGCTTTATTGAGGTTTCCAAGGAAGTCTCAACCAGAGTGGATAGAGGGGAACCAGTAGATATGTTGTATTTGGACTTCCAGAAGGTGTTCAACAAGGTACCTCACAAAAGGTTAAGTCATAAGGTAAGAACCCATTGAGTTGGAGGTAGTATATTGGCATGGAGAGATTATTGGCTAATGGACCAGGAACAGTGAGTGAGGATAAGGGGTTTGTTTTCAGGTAGGCAACCTGTGACCAGTGGAGATCCACAGGAATCGGTGTTGGGTCCAGAACAGTTTACAATATATATTAATGACCTGGAGGTAGAAAGACATTGATAGGTTAAGTAAATGCGCAAAAGGTTGCCAAACAGGTTATAATGTGGGAACTTGTGAAGTTGTTAATTTTGTAAGGGAGAACAAAAAAAAAATGATTTAAATAGAGAAAAAACACAGAAAACTGCAACACAGAGAGACTTGGAGTACTTGTGCACAAAACGCAGAAAGCTAGCACACAGATACAGGCAATAATCAGGAAGTCTAAAGGAATACTGGCCCTTATTTCAAGGGATTTGGAGTATAAGAATAGGAAAGTCTTACTGCAACTGGACAAGGTTTTGATGAGACCACTTTTGGAGTACTGTGAGCACTTTTGGTCCCTTCATTGGAGGCAGTTCAGAGAAGTTCATGAGGATGATCCCCGGTGTGGAGGGAATGCCTTAAGATCAAAGGCTAAACAGATGGGACTCTACTTACTAGGGTTTAGAAGAATGAGAAGTGATCTCATTAAAACATGTAGGACAGAAAAACCGAAAGAACTACAGATGCTGGAAATTAAAAACGAAAACAGAAATTGCAGACCTTAGCAAGTCTGGCAGCATCTACGGAGAGAAATCAGAGTTAATGTTTCGGGTCCAGTGAGTCTTCATCAGAACTGAACAGGATTCTTAAGGGGCTTGACAGCGTAAATGCTGAGAGGATGTTTCCTCTCATGAATCTATAGCCAGAGGGCAAAGTCTCAGAATGAAGGGCACAAATTCAAGACTGAGATGAGGAATTTCTTCTCTGAAAGGGTTGGTGAGTCTTTGGAACTCCTTGCTACAGAGAGCTGAGAGGGCAGAATCATTGTGTATATTTAAGGCTGAGATAGACAAATTCTCAATCAGTTGGGGAATAAAGGGCTATGGGGAAAACATAGGAAAGTGGATATAAGGAATGTTGGATCAACCAAGATCCTATTAAATGGTGGAAAAGACTCGACAGGCTGAATGGCCTCCTCCTGTTTCTATTTCTTATGTTTGTATAGTCTTACACACATACAAAGTGGCCTAAAGTTCCCATCATGAAGCTGACATCTTCAGAGAAAGCCATTGAAAGATTTGGGGAGGTCTTCCTGTGAGTTTTGGTTATCTGGAACAACTTTTAAGTGATCACGATCCACAGTTTGGAACACAAGAGTGAGGACTATCTAAAGTAGAAATTAATTGAACATATCTAATCAGTTCCTTATCATCCAGCCACAAATGATTTGGCAGGAAGATTTAAATCAGACAATTCTTAAGGGTAACTC